TAATCCTAGCAGGCTGAGATGTGAGGATCAGGTTTGAAGACAGCCAGTTCAAGAAAAAAAGTCTGTGAGGTTCTTAATTTTTTTTTAATTTTTATTTATTTTTTATTATGAAAATATTGTACAGAGGGGTTACAATTAGATGGGCAAGATCATGAGTACATTTCTTATCAAGCATTGTAGCCTCCTCCTTTGTTTCCCCTTCCCATCTCTTCCCAACCTCCCCCCCCCCCCCCACTCAGAGGTTCTTAATTTTAATTAACCACCAAAATGCTGAAAGCAGAGCTGTGGTAGAGTACAAACCTTGAGTGATAACCTGATGCAACATTGTCCAGGCCCTGAGTTCAATCCCTAGGATTAGCGTGGGCGGACAAACACACACACACACACACACACACACACACACACACACACAGAGTTCAATCAGCTTATTATAAGTACATATAAAGCTTTCTAATGGCCAGGAGCCGGTGACTCATGCCTATAATCCTAGCTACTCAGGAGGCTGAGATCCGAGGTTCATGGTTCAAAGCCAGCCCGGGCAGGAAACTCCGTGAGACTCTTTTTTTTTTTTTTTGGCCTTTAAAAAATTTTTATTGTGGGGCTGGGAAGGTGGCTCAGGCTCAGTGGTAGAGCGCTTGCCTTGCATTCATGAGACCCTGGGTTTGATTCCTCAGCACCACATAAGCAAAAAGAAAAAAGCCAGAAGTGACGCTGTGGCTAAAGTGGTAGAGCGCTAGCCTTGAGCTGAAGAGCTGAGGGACAGCGCCCAGGCCCAGAGTTCAGGCCCCACGACCGGGCTACCCCCCAAAAAAATTTATTGTAAAGATACTGTACAGAGAGGTTACAGTTACATGAGTAAGGTAATGAGTACATTTCCTATTGTGCATTGTTACCCCCTCCTTTGTTTTCCCCTACCATCTCTTCTCTCCCCACTCCCCAACTCCTCCCTCCCTGCCAAGTTGTAAAGTTAGTTTTCAATATAGTGTCTTGTGCATCTCATTGTTACAATGGGTCAACTTCTTATCTCCAATAAACCACTAGAAAACTGGAAGTGGTGTTGTGGCTCAAGCGGTAGAGTGCTCACCTTGAGCTGAAGAGGGCAGGGACAGTTGTTCTAGCCCAGAGTTCAAGCCCCATGACTGACCAAAAAAAACCAAAAAAACAACTTAATAATGATGATATCATCTGTACACGTTTTCTTATCTGGAGTTATTGGGCACCCCTTGTGTGCCATCACCCCTTCCCAAACCCAAGTCGAGACCAGTACAGTGAGTTAATATCCACTGAAACAATTTCACCAGGGAGGAAACAGGAAATATGAAAAAGCCCGCAGGCAAATGAGCTAATCAACCCTCTAATCAGTACTTCCAAAGACATTTGTTTTATCTGATGATCAGTACTGACTATATAAGTTGGGGAGCTCAGAGGAAAATAAAAATGTGGAGCTCAACTGCAGGAATCATGGTGAGTTTCAAAACACAATGACAACATCATTTAAGCAAAGCTCATGGACCTTGTAAATGTGGGCCCTGTGTGATTGCCCAGGTCTTATGTTCATGAATGAGCCCTATGGGAGACAATCAGATACATCCAGCGATCAATTGAATTTTGTAAAACTGCTGCCAGTTCTACAACTGAACCTTTGTATTGTTTTTGTTTTTCTTTTGCCCTCATGTTTGTTCTCCCAGGATTATGCACTCTCTTCTTGTAAGCCTTAACAATCACACTCTATCTAATGTGCTGTTATGGAAACTTAAGTCTATGATTTCAATGACACCATGTAACCTGAGTTTTTATCTTATGAAAAAAAAACATAAGTATTTTGTACAATGGCATTATTTGTTTGATGCTGTTATAATAAATTTGCATGTAAGGTAGAACTCCTAGATTATTATATCTCTAATGTTTTATCTTTGGAAGTCAAGAATATTAAGAGCTTTTTGGAGCCAGGGTATTGATGGTTCACATCTGTAATCCTAAGTACACAGAAGACAGAAAAAAATCATTGAGAGACTATAAAAAATCTATTACTTTTCTTCTGTTTCGTTTTCCTTTCTCATTTGTATCTAACCTCTACCTATCCTTTTACTTGCAATAACATGGACAGAATTTAAATGTGTACCAAGATTTCTTAAAAAGTACATATTCATGCAGTAAATATTCTCATGTATTCTGCATAAAGCACAACAATAAGTATTAATGGACATTCTTATGATTACATCGACATTGATCCTTACCATTCTTCATATACCAAAATGAATTCTTTACCTTACTTACCATAAAAATAATAGCAGAATATTCAACTGAGAAAAACAAAAAAAGTCATAGCAAACAAATGGTTTTAAATCAAGCTATAATAAATAGGGAACTTCTGATATAAAGACCCAAGATCCAAGGCAACCTTTCTCTTTTTACATTTAAGAATGTTAAGTATTCTTCATGGATAAAACAGTACGATCTAATGCCAACACAATGAAGAGGAAAACTCAGCAAGCCTGTTTTTTTCAGACTTAGCTTGTCTTCTCTGTTTAGTAAGTTAGCTGTTTCTGTATTGAACAATTAAAAGATGCAAGTTATTATCATCTCCTTAGTGAAAGTTGAAGTAATTATCTCATTTTTATTAATTGCTCTTAAGTATAAAGATTGCTATTGTGGCCTAAGTGTGGCCTTTGTATACATTTTTAATGCAGAAAGTTACCATGAAATTATTACTGCTGTACAGTAAAAAAGGGTATCTTACATTCTATGCATTTTAGGTTCATTGGTTGAGACTCCTGTAACACAAGATTCATTAACAAAACAAATTTATTTGAATTTTCTGTGACATGAGAACTTTCAGAAGGAAATGAAGACCTAAAGAAAGATTAAAATTAACTGATTTTTGTATTAGTTTTGCTAAAGAATATGAAGTCCTGAGAAGATGTAGCAAGGAGAAGAAAATATAAGCTAGATGTAAAAAACTAAGGGGGAATTTAGCAGGCCCTAATTGTTTAGATTCTTCTCCCTATTTCTTTATCTTCATAGATTAGAATGGTTCACTTAGGGATTAAGATGGACACCTCTTTCAACAGGCACCTGTGCCTCATACCTGGGCCTCACGCCTGTAATCCTAGTTATTCAGGACTGTGAGATCTGGGTATCAAGATTTGAAATGAGCCCAGGCAAGAATGTTCATTTGTCTCTTATCTCCACTTAACCACTAACAAAGTCAAAAGTGGAGCTGTGGGTCAAGTGGTAGAATGCTAGCCTCGATAGCAATGAAGCTTAGAAATCACACTCAGGCCCTGAGTTCAAATGCCACAACTGGCCAGTTAAAAACAAACAAAATGTAAAAGGACACTTGTCAATTAAGAGTCTGCTTCAGTGGACCCTCACTAAATACCTCCCATACTTGTTGACTCTTAGATTCTCTCAACATAAACTATGCCAAGGAACTATACCTTGGAATTCTATATTTTGCCTCCCCATCCTTACATACCAAAGGACACAACTAGCTGACCAATTTCAGATCTTTAACTTTCCAGCCAAACAAGTATAGAAGGAGAATAATTAGCAAGTCTATACATGAAGAAGCTGTTTTATTTTTTAAAGTCAGAATTACTTTGTTCATAGCAAACCCATCCTTTCAGTAAAGTAAGCCATGATTCCTGGACCATTAGTAAGTTTTTGGGAAGATAAAACTGTCTTAGTCTAATCCAATAAAGAGTAATTTCTAAACTTGTCAGATCTAAACAAATGGAACTAAATTGCACAAACCTATTTGAACTGACATTAATAAGGGGAAAAAGTAGTCTTTAATGTTGGTATTTGATTTTCAATCATGCACTTCTATGTAAATTTAAGGTGATTTCTCCTTGTTGAGTTATAAAGGTATGCCTGTCAGTGATGAATTTGTATCAGAGTAGTAGGGCTAAAATTTCTCAGGTTTATTTTTGTCATCCTCTTTAATTTTTCATTGTAATATTCATATGTGTATAGGAGAGACAAAAATTGCTTTTAAAAATATTGCAATGTTTTTCTGTTTGTGTTTCATTGTGTTTAATTAAAGAACAGTATTTGAGGGGCGTGGTTAAAAAGCTTATTTACTAGCTATCTATCAACTTGTGTCTTCAATTAAAACCTGCCCCATGCTAATGATACTGGTAGATATATCTTTGGACACAAGTGGCAGTCATGCAATAATAGAGTATCTATAAAATGGTTATGTCTATTTAAAGTACCTCTTTGAAAAAGAAGACATTGTGAGAGATCTAAAGTATGCATGTATTTAAGAGCAGCTTGAATACAACACTAAAAATTATTAGCTGTCACTGAGAGAAAAAGAACAGTGCAGAGAGTGTTAGGGATAATTAAAGCAAGTAATGATAGTGTTGGAGGACACACTGAAGCTTTTGCGTTTGTATGTGCATATGTGTTCACTCAAGTCTGCTCTAAATTCTTTTTGTAACAACACTTATTTTTCATATCTCTTTTGAGAATGGAAACTTCTAAAGATGGAAACTTTTTAACATAAGTATTCATTTATTAAAATCCCAATATTTTAACAGAAAGAAAAATATTTGATCCTTTCCTATAATGTAACCTTAAATCATTTATAGAGCCAAGAACATACATTAATATGATAAAGTCTCTTTGAACCTTAGTTTCTCTTTAATCTTCAAATTCGATTTTAAAGAATGAATTATTAGGAATTCCATCAATAAATTTAAGTAGAAATGGGTTCATCTGAACTAATAGCTGAGTAAAATGGTGACATTCCTATATTAAACATGATGATTTGGTGTATTATATTACACATTTTCATTTATTTCTTGGTGAGTAGAATTTTTATGAGCAATAATTCAGAAAAAATGTGAAAAGACTCATGAATCCATTGTCCGTATTAAGTATACCACACACACACACACACACACACACACACACACAAACACACTCAATTTTCGGTTGTTTTGTGAAATATGTGATCAATAATTCTAAATGTTCTATATGTTTTTCCTAAGTTTCAGCCCAGATTCTCAAGAGCAGTCTTACAGCAATGGGAGAACAAATCGCCTGTCTGGAAGGTGACATCAAGAGATTTCCAGAACCCGAAAGCCCACATGATAAGTTTGTGGAAAAGATGAAGATATCCTTTATTTATTTAAGTGTTTCTTTGTTAGTCCCTATGTCTGTCTGTCTGTGTACTTATTATCTACTATTGGTTAGTACTAGATTTATTAATCTATAACTAATAAGTGGTGAATAACTATGCGATATCACTATCCAGATGAATTTGTGTATATGCTTTTTAAAAACAACATTAGCAGCAAAAGTTCTTTTTACATTATTTTAAACCAGGTAGAGTAGGCAAAGGAGCAATTAGATCAGAGAAATTGCTGTTTGTCAAAGAAAAATTTCACTGGAAAGTCTACAGGATATGCAAGGTAAGTCCTGGGCAGATTGAATAAACTTAAAATGAGAATCTCCTTATGTAACCAAGTACTTAAAGGTGATGATGAGATTACAAGTTTTTTCTGAGATTTTTTTATTTCCTCTTTTGATGTATACAAGTGCATATTATTAGGGAACATACAAATCTCATAGGACAATCAGAGGTGAGTCTTTTCTGTAAATGAGGACGATTGAGAAGAATAAATGGATAAATGGATAGTCAGATGAATTGACCAGTAGGGAATACATTTATTTTTTTAAATTTATTTATTTATATATATTTTTTTTATTTTTATTTTTTTTTATTGTGAAAGTACTATACAGAGGGTTACAATTACATGGGCAAGATAGTGAGAGCATCTCTTATCAAGCATTGTAGCCTCCTTTGTTTACCCTTCCCATCCCTTCCCATCCTCCCTCCCCCAAACAATCCTCCCTCCCGCCCCCCAGCCAAGTTGTACAGTTCATTTTCCACATGACAACTTGTACTTCTCATTGTTGTAACAGGTCCACCTGTATCCTTATTTAAACGGCTTGTTTTTCCCCTTCTCCTCCACAAATTATACCAACATCAAATACAGTGAGAGCAGGGGTTATACTGTGGGGGAGGGATATATACAAAGCAACAAAGAAATAATCTTATAATTGCGTTAGAAACAAATGCATGAAAGAAAAAAAACATTTAAAATACATATCTTAGGGTTCATTTTCCTAACATCAACTTATCTGACCTTTTCTGCTTGACTCATACATATACTAGATATTGCAAATAAGGGAAATCATGGGACCTATGTTTCTTTGGGCCTGGCTTACTTCACTTAATATAATTTTTTCCAAGCCTTTCCATTTCCTAACAAATGGGGTAATGTCATTCTTTCTGATGGAGGCATAGAATTCCATTGTGTATATATACGACATTTTCTTGATCCATTCATCTACTGAGGGGCATCTGGCTTGGTTCCAGATCTTAGCTATGGTAAATAATGCTAAGATAAATATAGTTGTGCTGGTAGCTTTAGTGTGGTCTTATTTGTAAACGTTTTTGTAAATGCCCAAAAGTGGGATTGTTGGGTCGTAGGGGAGCTCTATGTGGAGTCTTTTGAGGAACCTTCATACTACTTTCCAAAGTAGTTGAACAAGTTTACACTCCCTCCAACAATGCAGTAAGGTTCCCTTCTGTCCACATCCCTCCCTCCAGCATCTGTTGTTATTAGAGTTCTTGATTTTTGCCATTCTAACTGGGGTGAGCTGGTATCTCAATGTTGTTTTGAATTGCATTTCTTTTATGGCTAGGGAGGTTGAGCATTTCTTCATGTGTCTATTGGCCATCCTTCTTTCTTCTTCAGAGAAGTTTCTCTTTAAGTCATTAACCCACTTATTTATTGGGGTGTTGTTTCTTTGAGGATTTGTTGTCGGGGGATTTAATTTTTTGAGTTCCAAGTATATTTTATTTTATTTTATTTTTTAAGTTTTATTTTATTTTATTTGAGAACATACTGTACAGAGGAGTTACAATTACGTGGGCAGGATAATGCATACATTTCTTTCCAAGCATTGCAGCCTCCTCCTTTGTTTACCCTTCACCTCCCTTCCCAGCCTCCCCCCTCCCCCCCACCCAATCCAAGTATATTTTAGATATGAGACCCTTGTCTGTTGTATGGCTAGTGAAGAACTTCTCCCAACCCGTGGGCTTTCTATTGATCTTGCTAGCTTTGACGTTTGCCATGCAGAAGCTCTGCAACTTCATGTAATCCCATTTGTCCAACCTTTCTTTGATTTATTGTGTTTACAGGACTCTGTTAAGAAAATTTCTGCCTGTGCCAAGGAGGCCTAGGGTTTCTCCTATTCCATCCTGTAATGTTTTCAGAGTGTCTGGTTTGACTCCGAGGTCTTTGATCCATTTGGAGTTGATTCTGGTGCAGGGTGATATATAAGGATCTAGCTTTAGTTTTCTACAAGTAGTTAACCAATTTTGCCAGCACCATTTACTGAAGAGGCTGTCTTTCTTCCATTCCATTTGTTTAGCTCCCTTATCAAAGATTAGATGGCTATAGGTCTGTAGGTTCATTTCTGGGTTTTCAATTCTATTCCATTGGTTCTGAGGTCTGTTCTTGTGCCAGTACCAAGCTGTTTTGATTACTATGGCTTTATAGTAGAGTTTGAAATTTGGTATTGATATTCCTCCAGCAGTGTTCTTTCTGTTGAAGAGTGATTTTACTATTCAGGGTCTTTTATTGTTCCATATGAATTTTTGGATTGCCTCTTCTATTTCCTTGAAGAATGAGGTTGGAATTTTGATAGGTATCGCATTGAATTTGTAGATAGCCTTGGGAAGTATTGCCATTTTCCTGATGTTAATCTTTCCAATCCAGGAGCATGGGAGTTTTTCCCATTTTCTGAGTTCTGTTTTGATTTCCTTTTTCAAGATTTTAAAGTTTTCATCATAGAGGTCCTTCACTTCTTTGGTTAATTCCTAGGTATTTTATTTTTTGTGGGGCTATTACAAATAGAGTTGCTTTCCTAATTTCAGCCACACTTTTCTCATTGTTGGCATACAGAAAAGCCATTGATTTTTGAGGGTTAATTTTATACCCTGCTACTTTGCCAAAGTTTTGAATCAGTTTGAGTAATTTGGGAGTGGAATCTATGGGATTCTTTTTTTCTTTGTTTGTTTTTTAATTTAATTTTATTTTATTTGAGAACATACTGTACAGAGGGGTTACAATTACATGGGCAGAATAATGCATACATTTCTTACCAAGCATTGCAGCCTCCTCCTTTGTTTACCCTTCACCTCCCTTCCCACCCTCCCCCCTCCCCCCACCCAATCAAACCCTCTCCCCCCCCCCCCACACCGACATTGTAAAGCTCATTTTTGACATGACATTTTGTACTTCTCATTGTTGCAACAGGTCCACCTGAATCCTTAAACGACTTGTTTGTCCCCATCTCCTACACAAGTTATACTGACATCAAATATAGTGAAAGCGGGGGTTACACTGTGGGGGAGGGACATACAAAGCAACAAAGAAATAATCTTATAAATGCGTTAGAAACACATGCATGAAAGAAAAAAAAAACATTAAAATACATATTTAAGGGATCGTTTTCCTAACATCACATTATCTGACCTTTTCCTCTTGACTCATACATATACTAGATATTGCAAATAAGGGAAACCATGGGACCTATGTTTCTTTGGGCCTGGCTTACTTCACTTAATATAATTTTTTCCAAGCCTTTCCATTTCCTAACAAATGGGGAAATGTCATTCTTTCTGATGGAGCCATAGAATTCCATTGTGTATATATACCACATTTTCTTGATCCATTCATCTACTGAGGGGCATCTGGGTTGGTTCCATATCTTAGCTATGGTAAATAATGCTGCAATAAACATAGTTGTGCTGGTAGCTTTAGTGTGGTCTTGTTTGTAAACATTTGGGTAAATGCCCAAAAGTGGGATTGCTGGGTCATAGGGGAGTTCTATGTGTAGTCTTTTGAGGAACCTCCATACTGCTTTCCAAAGTGGTTGAACAAGTTTACATTCCCACCAACAATGAAGTAAGGTTCCTTTCTGTCCACATCCCCTCCAGCATTTGTTGTTGTTAGAGTTCTTGATTTTTGCCGTTCTAACTGGAGTGAGGTGATATCTCAATGTTGTTTTGATTTGCATTTCTTTTATGGCTAGGGATGTTGAACATTTCTTCCTGTGTCTATTGGCCATCCTTCTTTCTTCTTCAGAGAAGTTTCTCTTTAAGTCTTTCGCCCACTTATTTATTGGACAGTTGTTTCTTTGAGGTTTTGTTGTTGGGGGGTTTAATTTTTTGAGTTCCAAGTATATTTTAGATATGAGACCCTTGTCCGTTGTATGGCTAGTAAAGATCTTCTCCCAATCCGTGGGCTTTCTATTGATCTTGCTAGCTATGTCATTTGCCCTGCAGAAGCTCTGCAACTTTATGCAATCTCTATGGGATTCTTTAAATACAAGATCATGTCGTCTGCAAAGAGGGAAAGTTTTATTTCTTCTTTCCCTATTTGGATCCCCTTTATGTCTGCATCTTGTCTTATTGCTGTAGCTAGACATTCTAATACTAGGTTGAAAAGAAGTGGACATCCTTGTCTTGTTCCTGAGTTAAGAGGAAATGGCTCTAGTTTTTCACAATTAAGTGTAATACTGTCTGTAGGTTTGTCATATACAGCCTTTATTGTATTGAGGAATGTTCCATGGATTCCTAATTTTTCCAAAACCTTCATCATAAAGGGGTGTTGGATCTTGTCGAATGATTTTCCTGCATCAATTGAGATAACCATGTGGTTCTTATCCTTGCTCCTGTTGATGTGATGAATAATATTGCTTGATTTGCATATATTGAACCAGCTTTTCATCCCTGAAATGAATCCTGTTTAATCGTGTTGAGAAGTTTTGCATCAATGTTCATCAAAGAAATGGGTCTTTAGTAGGGGATACATTTAAACCAGTGATAATTATATATAACATTTAGCATTCCCGGCTAAATATTTTTGAAACCCTAATTTTACATCTAAGTTACAAAAACTTATGAAAGGAGAACTTGAGAAATTGAATTGTTTAATGTTAAAGCTGGTGTCTGAAGATAAACAACATTTGAGCTGACAAATTTTTCTTCTTATTTTGGTTTTAAAAAGTTAAAGCCATATCCTTTTCTACTGGGTA